AGAAGGATGTTGCCATTTCAACTTGACTCACCCTTTTGTGGGCAAGGCAGGGGTAAAATTTAGAGAAGGATGTTGCCATTTCAACTTGACTCACCCTTTTGTGGGCAAGGCAGGGGTACAATTTAGAGAAGGATGTTGCCAGTTCAACTTGACTCACCCTTTGGTGAGCCACCCGAGGGTAAAATTTAGAGAAGGATGTTGCCAGTTCAACTTGACTCACCCTTTGGTGAGCCACCCGAGGGTAAAATTTAGAGAAGGATGTTCCCCTGCCAAGTTGACTCACCCTTTTGTGGGCAAGGTAGGGGTAAAATTTAGAGAAGGAAGTGGTCATTCCAAGTTGACTCACCTTTTGGTGAGCCACCCGAGGGTAAAATTTGGAGAAGGATGTTGCCATTTCAACTTGACTCACCCTTTTGTGGGCAGGGTAAAATTTAGAGAAGGATGGTGCCCTTCCAAGTTGACTCACCCTTTTGTAGGCCATGCAGGGTTAAAATTTAGAGAAGGATGTTGCCATGCCAAGTTGACTCACCCTTTTGTGGGCCATGCAGGGTTAAAATTTAGAGAAGGATGTTGCCATTTCAACTTGACTCACCCTTTTGTGGGACATGCAGGGGTACAATTTAGAGAAGGAAGTGGTCATTCCAAGTTGACTCACCCTTTGGTGAGCCACCCGAGGGTAAAATTTAGAGAAGGATGTTGCCATTTCAACTTGACTCACCCTTTGGTGAGCCACCCGAGGGTAAAATTTAGAGAAGGATGTTGCCATTTCAACTTGACTCACCCTTTTGTGGGCAAGGCAGAGGTAAAATTTAGAGAAGGATTTTGCCATTTCAACTTGACTCACCCTTTTGTGGGCAAGGCAGGGGTAAAATTTAGAGAAGGATGTTGCCAGTTCAACTTGACTCACCCTTTGGTGAGCCACCCGAGGGTAAAATTTAGAGAAGGATGTTGCCATTTCAACTTGACTCACCCTTTTGTGGGCAAGGCAGGGGTAAAATTTAGAGAAGGAAGTGGTCATTCCAAGTTGACTCACCCTTTGGTGAGCCCCCCGAGGGTTAAATTTAGAGGAGGAAGTGGCCATTCCATCTTGACGACCCTTTTAACTAAGCAAACATCGGGAAAGGGCCTGTGTGCGCACTTGAGTCTCCCCATGGACTGTGTGCGCAGATGAGTCGAATCTGTGTGCGCAGATGAGGCGCAAGTGCTAACAAAATGTGTGTGCGCAGATGAGCCAAATCTGTGTGTGCAGATGAGCCGCTGCCCGTCGGCCCGGTCATTCGAGGTTCATGCAAATGGTGTGGAGCCGAAGGATTACTTCTTGCGCTGCTTGCCGATGGAACTTCTGGAGAGTCATGGAGGGCTCTGCTAGAGACCAGGGCTTTGGACTTGAGGAGGGAATAGGAGGGTCTACAGGTTCCAGTCAGAGGATCACAGGTAGAGATGTGTGATCTGTGATCCATTCCATCGCCATCCGTCACTGAGGTGATCGAGGCCTGTGGTATTTGGACGACTTCACTGAACGCTTCGGAGAAGCTCCACGGTTCTTCACCTATGTCCACCCTCGAGGCCATGTGATGTCGAATCGATCGCAGCTATAGCCCAAAGTGACAGGCGTGACAGGCACACATGCGGCCGTGGGTGAAACGAGCCCTCTCGAGCCCTCTCGTTTCTATGTATTTTGCTCATGATCACTCCAATTCTACGGCGCTGATGGTGGCACAAGACCTATCCAAACCTCTTGCGTTTCTCTTCGTTCTCTCCGTTCGACCGCCGCGCGACTCCAGGGCTGTCCTTAGCGGAAGACTTCGAGGAGGTGGCCGCAGCACTGGAGGCACTGATAGTTGAAGGGAACGAGCGTCGTGAGCGTCGTGGGTCCGCGAGTTCTCGACCTTGAACGCCGGATTTGGGCACTTGGCAAATCCTGCTCGGACGGCGGTGACAGAAGGTTTGCTGGCCTGACAGGTGGCGATGATGTTGCAAAGGAGATTGGTTTTGCCAATGACCATGAACTGCCGTCTCCTGACTTAACCTGGTGCTGAGGGTTTCATCAGGTTTCTTCCTGGCACTAAGTCACTAGGCCAAGCATGTTTTTTTTTCATGGGCGCCTGGACACCTTGAGTGGGGTGCGCACCTGAGGTAATTGTCCTGCCTATGGGCCATATGGATTTGCAGAGTGGGCAGACAAGAAGGACCAGCGGAAGGGAGATCAGAAGGGCAATGGGGACAAATCGATGTTTTTGAATGGCACATGGTGGCACCCTCGACGTTCGGAGTTGCCATGGTTTGATGTTTTAAGGTTAGCTTCCATATGTATAGTGGGTGCCTTAAAAGGCCCCAAGATTTTGACTTAAGAGCCAGCACATGAAGCAGACATTAGAGGACCTGGGTTGTACCTTCGACTACTTCTCCCGAGCTAGTTTGGCAATGGGCGAGTGGCTTAAGTTTACCGTGGAGCCCTGCCCTGAGCAACGTGAGAGAGAGAGAGAGAGGGAGAGCTAGGTCAGCTAGGATTCTTGTTAGCTTTAGATGAGCTCCTTTTCTGATATCGTTTACCTTGAATGTATCTTGCACATTTGTGAAAGCATGCAGCTACTTGCTGGTTTCCTAGCAGGGATGTTGCCAGTCAATGCAATGGCAATGAGGTCAGGTGTGGTTTGGCTCCCTGAATTTCAAGAGCTCCTAAAAGCAAGGCCTGCACAGAGCTAGTGCTTGGCACCTCCGCCATGGCAGAACTTCAAGTTCTGATCAGCTTAAACTCCAGTTCATTGCAACATCCCATCAATGCAGAATCGAAGGCCAAGCTCAAAATAGCTCAAACGTTTTGGAGGTAGTAAATTGGTACATCCCCATGGTTCATCAATGTTCATCATCTTCTAAAGAGTTGTGGTGCACCATGGCTGAGATTTCGAAGATGGCGAATTCCAGGCTGAGGAATGGAACTCAGGGGATGTTGGTACTGGATTGGTCAGGGAAATGGAGCACCCGGCCCCTGCAGGCGCCACGTGTCCGCGGCCTCGCTCCAGACGGAGCTCCGCTCGGCCGGCGGCCGGCGCCCGGCCGAACTCTTCGGAGACACCGCGGTGGTGCAGCTGGGCCGCTGGGCGCGGGGTAGTCCTCGGAGACATTGGGTTTGTCCAGCTGTGGGTGTCAAATGGGACAAGAGTAGGAGGAGCATTGAGCTGGAGATTGAGGGTAGGAGACAGATCATGAAATCATGACGAAATCATCCGTTGTTGCCCATTGAGAAAGGCCCAAGGCGCCCAAGGCCATCCGTACGTGCCATCCGTACGCGCCAGGTTCGACCGGTCCGAGATCCGGTATCGACCGTCCCGTCGACCTGAGGGGAGGCCTTGCGAGTCCACGTGCTTCGAGACCTTCTGAAGCAAGCAGTCCGTGTCTTGGGAGCGAAGGCGGCGGAGGGTTTGGAGGCTTTGAGAGACAGCGCGGCGCGCGGGTGGAAAGAATGAGGAACTGGGAGACATGATGCGGAAGCAAATTCACAACACAAAGTGCAGAATCACGACCAGTCGAAGCATACTACTGTGCAGTGCAGATCAAACATCGAGTGGCTTTTGTCAGGAAGGTTTGGTTGCAGGATGTCGCACGTCGCCGACACTCAGTCAAAAGAAATCAACAGAATCCTGTGCGGGAACTTCCATTTGTCAGCATTTGCATCGTCAGTTCCCTTTGTTGAGAAACTTTGGTGCCACTAGCATCCATTGGCCGGCATTATGTGTTGGAAGCTTGCAATAACTCATACCATTTGCCCAGAGGATTCCAACATGCGTACCGGAGTTGTAATGACGAAGCTGCAAAGTTTTAAACACATCCGTTTTGGATAAAGCAAGCGATTTGGACCCCCTGCATGACAACTCTTGGTGATATCAAACAGTGAGATCAAACCATAACTTGTTGTTGAAGGATGCTTCTCCAAGCCTGCACTTGGCGTTTCCCTTCGCCTCAATGACTGAGGGGGTCAGCCGCTTGATAGTTTGCCTTGTGCCTGGCGAGCATGGCCTGCCACAACCTTTGCATGTCGCAACCTGGTAGCAACAGCCTCCAATCCTGTGACCTAGGTTCTGCAAGATCCCGAAACATCTTTGCAGCAGCTTGATTTCCTCCCTCACTTCAGGCGACGCGGTGCTTCCTCAAGTGGGTGAAGAACACTCTGGCTGGGAGTGTTGACTTTGCAATGTTTTGTCCATAATCCAGTGATCATGCAACCAGCAACCATGCAGCAGATAGACCTAACCCGGGCATGTATACAAAAGAAGTACAGTAAGACGCGTGGACGTAGAGAAGTGCGAAGTGTGCTGATGTCGAGAGATGTAAGTAATGTATAGATTGTATAGTAATGTCAGGTGTGTGCACATCTTCAGCTGGAGATTTTGGGTGGAACACTGCCCTCGGTTGCAAGCTGTACACACATCATTTTGTACACGCTGCGAGCGTGTTGCAGGTGGAAGAGATCTCAGAGCAAGCTGCGATGGCTCGATGCAGGGAGCAACTTGGCTCAGGTGGTGAGAATGTGCGGGGCAGCTTCCAACTTCAACAAAAAACACTCCAAGTGCTCTAAGTGCTTATATACTGTAACAGTCAGTAAACAATATCATAATTTTTGAACAAGGCCCTTACTAACCATCATCATCCACCGTTACAGGTATTAGGATAGACCCAGTATTGATTTGTGATGATTCATCCGTCCGGACCACGTCGGAAGAGCCTACCCGTCGTGACGTGGGGCTGGGCCAGGAATGTGGGCTTTTGCCCTTCATGTGTTGTGAAGCCTACTTTGGCTGGGCGGAGAAGCTGGAGGTCCTAGGCGGAAAGACCTGGGATTTGCCCTGTGGATGCGGCCTGGGAAGACACTGCGCTCAGACGAGCAGGACCTCAGACATGCAGGTGCGGTCGCTGTTCGACTGATGCGGTCGCTGTTTGTATCCCTGATTCTGATGCCGGTCTGGCGTTTTCGATGCTAGCTGCTAGCTGCCAGCTTAGAAAACGCATGGAAAAAGCTAAGCAAAAAGAGGAACCACACAGCAGCGGCACAATGAACAGATGTTTTCTTCAAACCGCTAGGCACACCATGAAGGTCTAGGGGTGTTCAATCCTTCAATTCCACAAGACACCTGGTGCAGGTTTGCTGTGAGCCGCGCGTGGTCGGGGCCAGGAAGAAGTTTGGTAGGGTCCCCAGGGCAAAGATGAAAGGACCACTAAGCACAACTTGCTGTTGTATCCGGCAATTTTTCAGTCTAGCGCCAGGAGCCATGAGATTCCATTTGGGCGAACTTGGTAGGAGAGCTGATCTGAGCTGATCATTTGCGCCATTTTGCAGTGCTCAGCAGCACCGCCCTGCGTGTTTCACCTCACTTTCCAAAGAATGCAACCGTGCTACCATGTGCTACCTATGAGCAACAGAAATGGCACCCACATGCACACTTTTTGGCGGAGATGCTTCAAAAGGTGTGGCATGCTGCACAGCTAGGCAATCACAAGCGTGTCACAGCCTGTCAGATAACAGCACTCATATTACTACACTGGCTTAAATTTCGTAGGGCCTTCAAAGACCATGATGGGGGGCATGTTGCTCTCCTGAACACGCCATGTCATGGGTGGAAAGAGCAGCAAGGACTTGCTGAAAGGTGCCCGGCGGCGTGCTTCGCTACGAGCAGGTGCCCTTCAGGTCAGTGGCCGCTACCATCATTTGCCCCGGAAAATCTCGGATGATTACATCTTGTTTGAGACCATTCTTGGCTCCGGATTTGGTGGGAATGTGATCTTGGCCACTAGCCGCAGGATACCAGGTCGTCGCTTCGCGGTGAAGAGCATCAAGCTCTTTGGCAAGCCGAAAGTGCGCAGAACTCTCGCCGCTGAAGTGGAAGTCTTCCTTTCTGTTGACCATCCTCATGTCTGCAGGCTCTTGGATGTCTACGAGAGTCACGACAGGATCGACCTGGTGATGGAAGCATTGGAGGGTGGAGAGCTCTATGATCGTGTGAACCGGGGGAAGTTTTCGGAGAAGGATGCTGCTGATGCCACATATCAGATGCTGCTGGCGATTCGCTACCTACACAGCCTTGGCATTGTCCATCGTGACATCAAGTTGGAAAACTTCCTCTACGATGAGAAAGGTAGCAATCACCTAAAGCTCATTGATTTTGGCTTTAGCAAAGCTTGGGATCCGGAGGTGAACCAGAAGAAGATGAAGATGAGTTGTGGCACCATTTGCTATGTGGCCCCCGAGGTGATCCTGCAAAGCTACACGCATATGTGCGACCTTTGGAGCTTGGGCGTGGTCGTCTTCTTGCTCTTGGTGGGCTACATGCCCTTCCCCATGCGACCAGAGATGGAGGAGATGGAGCGCGACATCCTCAATGCCAACTTCAGATACGACGCAGCCAAGTGGAGCAAGGTTTCACCCAGCTCGTATGACTTTGTGTCCAAGCTCTTGAAACGGGATCCGGAACAAAGGATGACTGCCGAGCAGGCTTTGGCCCATCCCTGGATCGTGCAACGCGAGCAGATGGCCAGTGGGACGGACTCTACGGGGCTAGATGCTTCAGTGGTCACCTCCTTGGCCAAATATGCCCAAGCCTCCAAGTTTCGCAGGACAGGGTAACAGAACTTTCAATCAAAATGACCTGTCATTGACTCCTAACCTGTCATGACCTGTCTATTTGGATCTTTCTTTAGACCCATTAGGATCGTTTATAGGCCTTATATCGTTTCCCAGTGTCTGAAGGGCACCACGTTTTGCAGGACTTGCCTACAGGTCATGGCCTGGTCTCTGTCGAACACGGAAATGGCGGAGGTTCGCCATGCCTTTATGGAGCTGGATGCGGACAAGAAAGGCACCATTCAGCTTCATGAGCTCAAAAATGTGCTGGAAGAAAGGTTCAACATCACAGACGAGGAGACCAAGAAGATCTTTCAGGCACTTGATGCAAGCAATCATGAAGAGGTGAAATACTCGGAGTTTTTAGCTGCCATGATGTCATCCCGCATTGAGATCCATGAAGACCTGGTACGCACGGCCTTTAAACGCTTTGACACCGACAATTCGGGCTTCATCACCGTGGAAGAACTTCGACAGATCTTGGGTGAAAGCCTGGAAAGTGAGGAGCAAGCAGCTGCGATTCTGGCCGAGGTACCCCAGTTTGTGGATGACAACAAGCTCTCTTATGATGAGTTCATCGAGTACCTCATCAGTGGAGAGGCCCAGGAGTCCTTCAAGGAAGTGGCCAGTCTTGTGATCGACAAGCAAATCTCTATGATGAGCTCGGATCAGATTGCACATTTGCCAGCGGCCCCCTTGGAGCCCAAGCACTGTGACGAGATCCGCTATCACCGTGCCAAGAGCTTCGGCGCAACATTCATTCGCGAGGACTCGGATGAAAAGGGCCTTCCACCTGTAGCACCTCTTCGGACAGCACCTGCCAAGGCAGCGATCCAGGAAACCACCGAGACCTTGGAGGATGCGCAGGGTGACAGTCAAGTGCGCAGTCAAGTGCAGCAAGAGAAGATCGTAACCTCAGTTTGCGCAGTGCTTTGAAGGCTTGCCTTGGCCTTGGCAGTCTTTTGATGCGGCCTCGTTTGACGAGAGGCGGGCTTCGAAGCTTCATGTCTCTCATCGGTCGATCCCAAAGGGTTCTCGGACCAGCGCGAAAAACATCTGCTCTGGTTTGAGCATTGTACGCTACTAGTAGCAAGGATGCTATTAGGGGCTCCTGGCATCTCTGCTAGGAGCATTCTTACTGCTAGTACCAAGAAGCTACTAGGGGCTCCTGGCCTTACTACTAGGAGCAAGAAGCTAGTAGAAACAATAAGCTACTAGGAACAAGTGCATCGCTTCTAGTAACAAGTGCCTTACTACTAGTAACAAGAAGCTATTAGGAGCAAGAAGCTACTAGGAGCAAAGGGCATCGCTACTAGGAGCATTGTACGTTCCAAGTTTCTCACCCCGACTGCCCCCTGTGGGGGCCCTCGGACCGTCTCCGACACTCGAGCCAATGTGCCTCGAAAAAGAGAAAATGCAGCCGTTGTCCGGGCCGCTCGTTTCGGTTTGTTGGTGTAGCAACTCTTGTGCGAAGAAGGGTTGTGCAGGCATTTGGGTATCGGAAGACCTCTGCGTTGCATCCAGGTTCCTTTGTGAGCTGTCCTTGCACCGCAACTCCTGGCCAGTCAGGTGAGAATTGCGGTCACAATCCGCCGGTAGAGGCCTTGCCTGACTTGGTGTCCTGGCCATTCAGGGCGGTGGGGGCAAACTTCAGGTGAGAGGATTCTTCACACGAAGTTTACGTGAACTGCCGTGGTGCAAGCAGTTCACATCTGTCCAAAGACGCCCCCCCAAGGTCCCAGATGACGCTGCAGCTTGGCTGGGACAAGGAAAACCGCTTGATCCATCTCCAATGTGACTGTGGGAACGTAGCGTGAACATGGAGCCGGACGAGAATCCACCCAACAGAACTGACCAGAATCCACTCAGTTGAACAAGCACGGGATCTGGAATTGGCATTTGTTGGCATTGAGACCTACAGCAGTACCCAGTGCCATCGACCAGCCGAGGATACCTACAGCAGCTCTATCTTGCGGGAGCTCGCCAAGGGAAATCTAGCAAGAGAGGATCGATCTGAGAAACCAACCACTTCATGAAACTTCATGCAATACTGATGGCCGCAATGCTGGTGCCTGCCATGCATTTTGCCCCTGGGCCCACTGTGGACCCTGTCGTACATACACTCTCAAAGACTCTTTGGATCCTTTGACGAGTGCAGTCTTGAGAGCAGGTGACATGTTTTCAACACACTGCAGTGTGGCTGCCATGTGGTGTGGCTGCCATGCCAGCCCTGCCAACAGAGTGTCACGGATGTTCGCAGTGTTTGGCGCCGTTGTCTCTTTTGAGATAGCTTCTTGTTACGTTCGTAGTAAGAGTGCTCCGTTCGTAGCGATGCCAGGAGCCCCGTTCGTAGCGTCCGATCGCTCCTAGTAGTAAGGCTAGGAGCCCCTAATAAGTAGCTTCTTGTTCCTAATGGCTTCTTGTTACTACTAGTAAGGCACTTGTTACTAGAAGCGATGCACTTGTTCCTAGTAGCTCCGATCGCTCCGTTCGTAGCGATGATGTTACGTTCGGTTCGCGTCCTCTGGTAGCGTCCACGTCTTCGGTGTGCTCGGACCATCCAGGATGCTGAACGCTTGTGCCTCTCCTTTGCCGCCCTTCACAAAGCCCTGGGAGGTCAGGAAGCCTGGCGCTTTTGCCAGGCGCGTTGCATGCGCACGGGTAGAAGGCCGGCACAAGGCCTTAGACCGTAGAAGGTGCAAGACGGTCTGACAAGATCTGACTGTGGATGTGTACCATACGAAGAGTGCAAGCTTTCGCCAGTGCCGGACTGGCCATGTGTTTTGGCGCAGGACCTGCTGGAGTGTCTTGGCAGCACTGGCCTTCAGTGAAGTTGAGGGCTTTGAGTCTTGAGAACATGTTTCCGGGCTGCTGTATTGAAACATATGGCTACCAACATGTAGATGGAACAAGATAAAAGACAGAGAAGCAAACAAACCATGGAGCCGAAGACATACTAGTAGCTACTAGGAGCAAACAACTTCCTTGGGAATCGTTTCACTGGGAATCGTTTCACCTGTAGTAACAAGAAGCTACTAGTATGTCTTTGAAGCTATTCATGTGTTATTCTATTTGCTGAGGCGGTTCCTGGGTGCCCAAGACGGCTTCGCGACACCGTGTTTCGGCACTGGTCGGTTGAGGGGTTGTGATGCGCCTTTTGCAAGCGGCAAATACCGTGGACAAGTGCAGTAGATCCTGTTATGTCGGCGTTATTTGTTTTTAGGATCTTTTTTTTTTAAATAAAGGGATGTATATTATATATATATATATACAAGTATAGTATATTATAAATATATATAAGTTTATAAAAGATATCTATCTATCTATCTATCTATCTATCTATCTATCCGCATATGATCAGTGATAGTGAATTCCCTACCCCTTAGAGCTTTCAAAGCCCAACCATCCGCACAACCCAGATGCGGAGAGGGGACTGCCTGTGAATATCAGTGAGCTCAGGCAGCAGCGCCCGGCAAAGCGAGGACAAAAACGCACGCTTTGAGGGAGTCGGACTAGTTGGCAACCTTAGAAGGCAACGCATTTTTTTCAAAAAAACTTTGGCCACTTGAGCCCTCCGAAGAAGTCGCATCCACTCCGAGAATTCGAGTGCCGCGCTTGGCCTTTTGGCGGAGTTCAGCGATGCGATGGTCTCGACATCAAGCAGCTCCCACCGTGGTGGGTGTCCGACTGTCTCACCCAAGAACGCCCCCCCAGGTCTGCAGCCTTACATCGAATCGCCAAGGCCGCCGATCACTACCAGGCGCGTTTTTCGGAGGTGGGAGAAACACTCCGACCAGATCCAGGGCTCCAGGGACGACATCGTGAAGTGATGTGTCTGCTAAGCCGAACTCAAGTGTCGAGCTGAAAGAGTCAAGATCCTTAGGAAGGTGAGGCATGAAAGTCTGACACCTGGTGAGTCATGTGGAGCCATGCATTCAGAAACATCAAAAAAAAGGAGAAGTCACAGAAGTCAGGCCACACTGGACCGATCTTGAAATGACCGCTCCCGATCTTCTTTGCCTCGCCAGGTCAAGGGCGATGACCGTTTGCGGTCGTTGGCCTCCAAAGCCACCCGTGGCTCGGTAGGTCACGGGGAGGGGAGCCGGGGCGAAGGTAAGAAGATTGGTGCATCGCATGGTGTGAAGGTGCTTTCTCTGTGTGGCTGAGGGGAGCTGGTGAAGTGGGACAAGCTCAAAAAAACCGCAGACGATGTGACTTGGCCAGATGTGTTCAGCTTGAAGCCTTGAATGGTCTGCCCGAATGGTCTGCCACCCTGGATCGGTCGACGAAGTCGAAGCCAAGGTCAAAGATCGTTTGGGCCATGGCAAAGCTCAACCTGAAGCTGCACAAGCTCGTCGCCCAGGCCTATGGGGTGAATCGGAGTCCGAGGCCACAAGTCGGGGAGTTCGCAGGAGCGTGAATCGCAGCTCAAGGGGATACTGACATGAAAGAACATCACCGGAAATCATGCAAGTTACGTCCCTCAGGTTTCAGAAGAGGCTTTGCAGAAGCTGCCTGAATTTGAGCCGCAACAGCTGCTGGGCCTAAACAGAGTTGAAGTTGTGTCGACCGAGAGGCAAGACATGGGCATGCGTGGTGTCTTTATAATCAACTGAAGTTCATGCATCTATCTCATGAATCTCCATTTGACGCTCCAATTTGCTTCAGATCTTGTAGGATGGCAGAACTCTTTGATACTATTTGCTTCAGAAGGTATTCCTCAATCCGTCTGACATTCCGAAGGGCCCATGAATGTCATCGCATGTCGGCTTCCAAGGTTGGTAAACCTCATGTCCGAAACTGAGAGCTGCTAGAGTCTGCCAGAGCTGAGGGAGCATTTGACCTTTGCTCTTCTCTTCTTCTCATGTGTTGCGACTCTGGCTCAGCTGGTCCTATGCGACTCTCCGCACAGAAGAGCCTGGAGCCTCAGAGCCCGAAGCGACGAATGAGGCAGAGTATCACCTGGGTCAAGCAAGCAGAAGATGTTGAAGCTGTAGACTGAAGATGGGTCGTGCCATGACCTGGACCTCATTGTATCTACAACCTCCTCCGTGACGGAGCCCCCCCCCCAAAATGCCGGCCAGGCAAGGCGGACATACCGCCCACCACCCTAGGTCTACCACCGCCCACCGCCCACCACCCTGGGTCAAACGGAGCCCACCGCCCTGGGTGTTCCCTGACGTGGAGGACTCCAGGACTCCTGGACTCCAAGCGACGGATCGAGGCTTCCCTTGCGTCAGCTGGCCGCCTTAGATGGGAGGATCGCTGAGCTGGCACCTCTGGGTCGGACGAACCTGGCCTGGGCCGTGGCGAAGTTGCAGGTGGGGAGCAGCTGCCTGAGGACACGGGTGATGAAAGCGTGATGAGTTCACACCGTGGCGACACCTTGGGACACTTCGAATTCGAGAAGAGTTTGAGTGGAGTACGGAGTACTAATACCTGTCTGATTCCCATGTGGAGCGACGATTCTCTGCTCATTGCAGAGAACGTTGATCAACTTGTTTTCCGGGCCTCAGTGCACACTGACACTAGAGTAGAAAGGTGTGCTTTTTTCCGGGTTCCACAGGGCTCTTCTTGGTTCAGGTCCAGTCCTGGAGCATCCAAGAGCTGGGTTGCTTGGAGACACGCGCAGGTACAGATTGAGTGTCCAGATCCGGCTTAGCGATTTAGGCCTAGCAAGTAGTAGATAGAGAATGTTAGAGAGAATGTTAGAGTCAGTAGGGGTTGGTATAGGGTGTAGATCGCTGTAGTGCAGGTAAGGGGGGCTGCGTTGTTTTGAGTTGCCTGAAATAGCTGATTACTGGCGGAGTTCCTTTCAGGTGGAGTGAATAGTTCTGCTGGCCTGGCCATTCAGGTCCCGGTGAAGTGAAAGACCTTACTGTAATGACAAAGGCAAGTGAAAGGAATGCCACTGCGCCCTGCAACGATCCAGAGGCTGGTGTGCGAGTGCCGCAACAGTGTCCCTGAGATGAACGGTGGTGGATCTCAGCGGTTTTGAAGTCGTCATGCTTGTGAGAAAGATTGAAAGGGGGAAGGTACGCTACTAGGAACAAGTGCCTTACTAGTAGCAACAAGAAGCTATTAGTAACAAGTGCCACGCTACTAGGAACAAGTGCCTGGAGGCCATTGCTTTTAGGTTGGAGGCTATCGCTAGTTAGTAGGTTGGAGGCCATCGCTAGTAGATGGTGGAAGGGTCGGACGTAGACAGCATCACAGCCTTCTTGTAGACATGGTAGACATCCGAAGCACAGCATCCCGCCGGGCGTGCCGCCGAGGGCAAAACCTGGCGAACACCAGCTGGGCCTTTGCAACTTTGCGCGAGGCAGATGAAGACTTCTTCAATGCAGTGGCCAAGGCCAGACCAATGAATGACACAACGCCGCTGACAAAGTGCTATAAAGCTAATCCAGACGTTTGCCAAGCTGCTAAGTCAAGAAGCTGCTCGTAGCAAGGACGCTACTAGGGGCTCCTGGCATCGCTAAGAACGGAGCATTTCGGGCATCGCTACGAACGGGGCTCCTGGCCTTACTACGAACGGAGCATTTCGGGGCATCGCTACAAGTAGCAAGGGCATGCTGCCTCGATGTATCGGTCTGTTCAGGTGGTCAGAGCTCAATGCCAGGAGTTTGCTCAGCAGAAGCTTGGCTGTTCCACTCATTGGACTTCGGTGCTTACAGCTTCGGGCGAAGCTGTCGCTGGACAGCTTCGCCCCCGTTCAGCATTGACCTTTCCCCATCCGCCCCCTTATGCCGTTCCTGAGGAATCTGAGCAATATGGCATGGGCCTATGCAAAGGTGCAAATCAAGAGGCTCGAGCCTCCCAGGGCCGTTTGCGTCCTCCGCGGGTTGGATGGATGACGGAGGATGACGGCCTTCGCTTCCCCCGAGTTTGGGCGCTCTGAGTTGGGAAGGTGATCACCATGGGAGGTTCATTTGTCCGCATGTTTTGTGACACTTTGGCCATTCGCCCCTTCCAAGGGGCTTTGAGGAACCAGAAGCGGTTGTTTGATGTTGTTTAGGATTTGATGCTCCTGATGAAAGTGTTCGAGGCCTGAGATGATGGAGGCCATCTCTGAATCTGTGCAACGAGTGGTGAACGACATGCCAGCACAAGGGGTGGCCAACACGGTGGGGATGCCAATCTAAGTGTGGGATGAGGATCAGCGGGCAAACTCTGAAATGAACACACCATCTGGAAGGCAACGACAGACATCCAACGCTGATGGTTTCGGTGCTTCCGACAGCTTTCTAAACTGCACACGATGGTCCTGCACGCGGTATGCAGGCTTTTTTGGACAGATATAAGATGGGCTAGCGGATAGCGAGACGAGGCGCAAGCCACTCATGCGCAAAATCCAATCCCAAGGACAACCTTGGCTTGTTGGCGGACTTTTGGGAAGGTGAAGAGAAGACGTTCAGAACTAGAACAACATGAACAACCAATTGCCCTCCCGCACTCCCTGGAACTAAAATTGGAAGTGGACAATGGCCTCTTGGAAGACCATGAAATCCTTTACAAACAGGGTGTTTTCCACTTCCACGTTAGTTCCAGGGAGAGTAATGTCCTTGTTGCTCAAGGTTTGGTCCTTTGCTACCTTGAATATCCGCGACGATGCCCTGATGCGGGGACCTCACGCTGCACTTTTGGGTCAGACACGTGAGCGAATAGAAACGCGTAGCTCTGTGACGTAGCTGCTAACCATAGACTGAAAGTAGGACTAGTAGGACTGGTACACTGCTACACAGTAGGACTAGACTAGTTGGTACTATCTATAAACAGTGTACATAGATGTACATAGGTGGGACTTGGGGGTCCTACAGGTGCTGTTTCAGCAGGACTACTCTCGGATGTTAGCAGCTGCCCTGAGGGATGTTAGCAGCGGAAGGTGTAAGCTGATGTCCACCTGGCAGCTGTAGGATCAAGCAGGCTCAGGGGGGGAGCCACATTCCAAAAGGCCCGGCCAAAATCAACATTTAGCAGTTGCTGGAGCTAATAGCTTTGTTGAAACGTGGGACCTGTATGCTGACGATGTGGACAGTGGAGTAAGATCACAAGATCTGCAAACTGCATACAAACTAATCAGCTCTTAGGGTGAACAGGTTGGCAAAAGGACGTCCAAGTGCAACCTCGATGGCCGCCTTCACCAACAGCAGGGGGGGCTTTCCAGGATGAGGCTCGCAATGCATTGGGCATCAATTTGCGAATTATTCTGCTGGAGGCCATTGCTACTAGGTTGGAGGCCATCTCTAGTAGGTTGGAGGCGATATTTTAGTGGGTCAGGTCCTTTTCCGTTGGGTCTTGCAGCTTCAGCACCTTTCACCGGTTGTCATATCCCGTTGTCACTTAAACTTAAAGCCTGCCGTGAGGTGCAACAAGTCCGCAGCCAAATCCGAAGCGTCCTGGTGGCTTGGCAAGTCTCGGACATCATGTCTCACGACCCATCATGTCTCCTGGTGTCTTTTTTTTTTTTGGCCTCTCAGTACCTAATCACAGAAAGAATCA